ACACAACACACACAACACACACACACACACGCGCGCGCACACGCACACACGCACGCACGCACGCACGCGCACACACCACACGCACACACACACACACCCGCACACACCCGCACACACACATTCACACACACAGGTTCACATCACACGCGCACACACACACACACGCACACGCACACACACGCACGCACACACACACACACAAACACGCAACAAAAAAACACACATACAATCACACAAACACACGCACACACGCACACACACACACACGCACGCACACGCATGCGCACACGCATGCGCACACGCACGCGCACACGCACACGCATGCGCATATGCACACCCACACCCACACCCACACCCACACCCACACCCACACCCACACCCACATCCATATTCACACCTACATACACACACACGCACATTTCCCCCACATACACGCACAAACACGCACACACACGCACACACACATACACATACACATACACATACACATACACATACACATACACATACACATACACACATACACATACACATACACATACACATACACATATACATACACATACAAATACACATACACATACACATACACATACACATACACAGACACAGACACAGACACATACACATACACATACACACGCACATACACATACACACGCGCATACGCACGCACGCAAACACGAACACACGCACGGCCATGCATGCACGCACGACAGCGCGCACGCATGCACGCACGTGACCACGCGCATGATGAGGCCGAGGCTGTTTCCTGGCAGCAGTATAGTTGCAGGTAGTAAGGTCGCGCACGAGTCAACTGCTCATGCATGGTCTAGCTGCGGCGGCCAAGCCGTGCGCGAGGAACTGGTGATCTTGCCGGCGAGGGCCGCATCCGCGCCAATCAATCAGATTTCGTCCGTCCCTGTGGGGTCGCGGCGCGGATGCTGGCCCCGGTTGTCTTGGATGGACCTGGCCTCGGCTGAGCCCTGCCTGCTCCCACATGTGCACTGCATCTGGCCGCAAGGATTATGCACCGGAGGGGCTGGCCTAGCACGCTCTGCCCCGGTGTGAGCTCCGCTCCTTTGGGTGTCGGGATTTGCCGTCTCTGCGTTCGGCCTCGGGTGCCCCCTCGAGGGTGGTCGCGCCGCCGCGCCCTGCCCGGCCCGCCCACGTTTGCGGGCGTCGGGGGAGGGGGTGGCTGAGGTGGCCTTGCGCTGGCCGCCGGCTTCTCTCTTCGAGGTGCACCAGGATTGCGCCTTCCAGTTTCTGGTGGCGCTTGCGAGTGTCGCGGGCGCGCGTGCGCGGGCGTGTGTGCGCATGCTCTCGAGAGCGTGGGTCTTTTTTGCATTTCGCGAGGGATCGCGGTTTCGGGAGGAGGGGCGACGCAAGCAGAAGTCCGCTGCGAGAAGGATGGGGGGGCCTTAGAAATTACAGAAACCCTACCAGACATCATCTCGCATGCTGACACGCTTCAACGTGCCAGGGAAAACGGTGGCGGATCGTGGTACTGACAGGGTCCCGTTTCCGTCGCGGCGTGGTGGTTGCAAGCGCACGATGTTGCTCTAAGGCACGTTGCAGCGGTTGCAGACTGTTGTGGTGGATCACAGGCAAATTGCTTGCGTTCGCAGGCACAGCCGTGCGTTCGCAGGCCATTGTGGCATTGGCAAGGTCTGGCATGTTGTGGCGCATAACATGGTGCCCGCAAGCTGCTGTGGTACTGTCGTGGCCTGGCTTTCCTCGCTGGTGGGTTTGTGGCACCCACGAGATGCATTTGTGGTTGCGGCGAGCGCAAGCCGCGGGCCCACGTGCGAAAGCACGCATGTCAGCTGTGCTCAGAGGCATATGTGGAGTTGCCCAGACCGGGAAGGTCAGATTATCGGCCAGCGTTTTCCCAAGATAATCAGGACAATCGCCGAAAACAAGGCAGTCCCCAGAGGCCTCGTGGATGCTTGCTGTGTCTCTTGGGATACCTCTCGGGGGCTTTTTTGGAGGACTCTTGAGAGGGCCCTTGGGGCCTCTCGGGGGCCTCTCGGAGGCCTCTTGGACGCCTCTTCGGGGCCTCTTGGGCAGTACAGTTCGGAGTCTTGGGGCAACATGTGGCGAAAAAGCTCCGAAGGCCCCTGCGCTTTCCCTCTTGTGTCCTTTTGGAGACCTCTTGGGCCATGCTGGGGCCGTGTTGGGGCCTTCTTGGCCTGCCTTGGAGCCTTTGTTGCTGCCTCTTGGGCCGTTTTGGGGCGACCTCGGGGGCTTCTCGGGCCGTCTCGGAGCGGCGGGAGCCCGAAAAGGCGAGAACGCTACAGTCATTCGACAACCAACGGAACATTACAGATTTGGGCCTCCTGGAGCTTTGGGAGGTCCCCTTGGAGCCCTCTTGGGGCGTCTTGGGGGCCTCCTGGGCCGTCTTGAGGCCGGCTTGGGCCGTCCTGGGGCGCTCTTGGGCTGCCTCGGGACCCTCCTGCACCGTCTGGGAGGTCTATGTGGACCATATTTGGCCGTACTTGGTCTTTTTGGCCCATCGCGAAGTCATGCTGGAAGCCCAAGAGGCCATGCGAGCAAGCCAAGATCCAATACAGAGAACTAGAAGGAACCCGAGGACAGTCCTCTCAGTGCCTCGCGGCACAGGTGGTATATTTCAATATTCAACACAGAGAACTCGACGAGACTTGAGGTCATTCCACTCAGTACCTACGGTACTGTGGCAAATAGTTAGCATGATGAATGCGGGGGGGGGCTCTCACCCATATCCGCGTTTGCGAGGGCTTCGGTACGTGATGCAACCTGCGCCCGCCGACACGCAATTTGGAGACGCACATTTATGCTTTCACGGTTTATGAATTCCCACGCGTTCAATCGATGTTGTGCCAATTCGTGAGAGCATATTTGCCGAGAGTTATAGCACGGCGCTGCTTTCAATCTGCGTGAACTAACTGGACAAACGCTCTGAGCACGCCCTGCGAGAGGTCCAGTGCGGCGGGGTAGTGTCGCGTGGGGGGGTCCGTCGTGGGAGGGTGATCCCCACAGGCCTCTGAGCACGCGCGAGATCGTGAAGCACTTGGAGCCCTTCGGCATCAACGAGGACGGGCTGCCGTGCCGGGAGCTAGAAAAGGGTACATACCCACGAGGGGAGGGGAGGATGCCAGGAAGAGGAGGAGGTGGAGGAGGAGGAGGTGGAGGAGGAGGATGAGGAGGAGGATCAGCAGGCGGAGGAGGAGCAGGAGGAGGAGGAGCAGGAGGAGCAAGAGGAGGAACAGGAGCAGGAGGAGAGGAGGGCAGGAGAAGAGACAGGAGCAGGATCAGGAAGGAAGACAGGAGCAAGCAGCAGAAAGCAGAAGCAGGAGAGCAGGAAAGAAGCAGGAGCAGGAGCAGGAGCAGGAGGCAGGAGCAGAGAGAGAGGAGGAGGAGGAGAGGAGGAGGAGGAGGATAGGCGGAGGAGGAGGAGGAGGAAGAGGAGGAGGAGGAGGAGGAGGAGGAGGAGGAGGAGGAGGAGGAGGAGGAGGAGGAGGAGGGGGAGGAGGAGGAGGAGGAGGAGGGTGCGCGGAAGGTCGTATGGGGGGAGTGGCTGGACGAGGGGAGGGAGGAGGGCCTGACAAGCACTGGGCACCTCGCTCCTCCGCCGCAGCAGGCCCGCAGAGCGTTGGGAGAGGGAGTGGGGCTGCGGGCCGGGCGGCGCCGAGGGGGGGAGGGGCGGGGGCGAGGCGCATCTCCTCGAGCTCTGGGCGGCGTCTCCCGCCCGCATGCAGCAGCAGGGCCCGAGGAGGTGATCTGCTTCCTGTTCACTGTGCTGCCGATCGGCGCGGGCCCGCGCAGGGCCCCCCCCCACCCCCACGGAGCAGCTCCTGGCTGCTCGTGGCGCCTGCTTCGAGCAGGCGGAGTTTCCCCCCTCAGACGCGCCGCTGCTCACAGTCGCGCCACTCAGAGGTCCAGAGCCAGCCCCCCCTTCCCTCCCCCCCCCTTCCGCCCAAGGACCCCGGACCCCCCTCCCAGCGGATCGAAAAGGGGAGATGGATTGAACTGCCCTCCGTTCGACTCGATTACGACAATGCTCTATTCCCTGTGGGGCTGGCGCGCCTGAGGAGGAGGAGGAGGAGGCCTCAGGTGGCTACAGGGAAAGGGGGGAAAAGGTCCAGACGATGAAGCTCTCGCACACGCCGTCAGGCTGGGCGGATATCCTCGGCAGTAGTTTCATGTACCTCTGCCAGAGTCACCAAAGTAGGACGGTACCAGGACCTGACCATGCCAGGATTAGACTAGCAGCACCCCCTAGATATGTGTTGTGCTTGGGATATACGGATTCGCATGTCTGCGTGTTTCTTGACGCCTCCCCGCGTCCGAGGACATGACGACGCACCGCATGATCAGCGGGTTCTCGGCCGGGCAGAAGAGTAAGCTGATGCTCGGAGCGTCAATGTGGACGAAACCTCACGTTATTCGAGTAGCATCTGCTGCGACACCGCGGCGACCCCGGGCGCTTGCGGGTCGGGGAGGTGTTTCGCTTTATGTGGCTCGATTTCAATTTCTTTTCAGGTGCAGACTCAGGCCGCCATCACATGCCATCCCTTGCACAACTACGAGTGCCCAGCACACTTGACGCGTGCACGATAAGTCAGCAGCAACACAGAGTCGCGAGCTTTTGAGGGGCGGGGCTAACACAGTTTTTGGGCGCGCCGTTGCGTCGCCGCACCTCGTTTGTGCTTTGGGGGGGGGACATCGCAGACCAGAGGTGCCATATCTCAGGTAATCCACTCAGGCTGTCGCGCGAATCCGCTACCGCTCTTGGGTGTGCGCCTTGGGGGGCAGGGGGACCTCGGGGTGGTGGTGGGTTGGGCGGGTTAGGATCAGAAGGGCATGGGTATTGAACGCATTCTCGCGGAATTTTTGATGTTTATGTTTGAGTGCTCTGTTCGTGGAGCGCAGCAAGCGCGGGGACCTCGTCCCCCGAACGAGAGCATGCCGGGATCAATGCGTCGGGCCCCTTGATGTGTTAGTCGTAAGAGGCGCAAGCTGACGTAGCAAGGCAAGGGCCCGACATGCGACAAACGTTGGGCGCTGCAAGCGCGGTGGCGGGCCATCCCCAGCTCGTGAGACTCCATACGGGAATGGAGACGAGGCGCGCGTTAGGCAGGGGGGGCGGCCGCTTCGTGGCAGCCACCTGGCCTGGGCCCCGCGCTGCGATTTTGCCTCCCCTCGGAGGAGCGCCAGCTGCGGCACAGTCGAGGGAAGATCCGGACCCGACGCGTGGCGTTTGCGAAGCGGCCCTGCGCGTTTACTGGACGGCCCTGCCCTGTTCGATGCCTTCTGTGGGCGCGTTTACTCGGCGGCTTCGCGTGTCGGGGCGATTCCTGCGAGGGTGGATCTGTCCTGCTCTCTGCACAGGCGCCCCCCCCCCTCCCAAGGGGCATCGGGTCGGACGACCGGGCGGGGGCACAGGGACACGCGGCTTGCGACACCTGCTGCGTGCAACACCGGCTTCGGCCCCGCCGCCGGGCGCCTCGCCTCGATGCACACGGGCGCCTCCCAGGCGCCGGGGGACTGGTGCGGGGGAGCCCCGAGGTGCCGACAGCCGCGGCTCCCTGGACCTCTCCGGGGGTGCGCTCTGGCCAGGGTCTCGAGCCGAGCCCAGCGGTGGCGACGAGGGCCTCGACCGAGGAGTGCCGATGGGAGGGGGGCAGCGGGGGGCAGAGTAGTGGGCGCAAGAGCTCGCAACAGTGACTCCCCCAAGCTGGAACTTCTATCAGCTGTCACGAGCGCCACGGTTCGGACGCAGTGTCTGCGCGCAGCTGTGCAATACGTAACCATGACGTTGTGTCGGCGGCCGCATCGCCCCCATGTTTCGGTATCTTCTCATCCTTGTTGGGCCATTCCTTGGCGTGCAATTTCTCCGCGCGAGCAAGTAGCATAGTGTATGTAACTTGCCCCGCGACGTCAAGGCGGGAATCGCCCCCCTCGCCTTGGTATGGAGCTGACACCGTTGGCGCTTCAATGTCGGGGAGTGTGCCTCGGCCAGCACGCGCCCTGGCTGATGTGGCGCGCTGGTTGGCCGCCGCGAGGCCGCAGCTGAGATCGGGATATGGCCGAAGCCGACTTTGATGCTGAGGCCGACACAGAAGCCGAGGCCGTGGAAAAGCAAGTATGTGGCCGAAACTGGGACTTTGCGGCTGGGGCCGGGGCCGTTGGCCCTGGGCGCTTGGGCTGGCGCTGGGGTCGCGGTTGGGGTCGTGGCCAGGTCTGGGCGAGACTGAAATTCAGGTCATCCATGTGGGTGGCGTCCGGGGCGCGGCATGGGCCAGGGGTGAGGTGCGAGGCTACGGCGCGGCGGGGGCACACGGTGGCGTTGAGATTGGAGCTGGGGCTCAGGCGGGGGGGGTGGGGATGGCTGGGTCGGCTGAGAACGTCCAAATCGAGGCCGGGACTGAGGGCGAGGCTCTGGCTGGCGCTGGCGGCGGCGCTGGGACCGAGGTCGAGCCTGGCTGGGGCGGGGGTCGTGGCGGAAGCCGCGGGCGGAGCTCAGAATCGAGCTCGGCGTGTGAATTCGGCTACGGCTCGACGCGGAAATGCGGAATCCGCCGGCAGACTTCACGACGCGAGGGGCGTCGCTGAGAGAGCCGTCGAGGAGGCCCGCCTTGCAGGGGCCAGGCGGCCGCGTGCCCCTCTCAGGGAGCTCTCGAGAGTCGTGGGTTGGGAGGCGCTGGGGGGACTCGTGGCCGGCGATTGCCCAGGCCGACGCGAGGGCTCTGCCAGCCGCCGACCCCCTATCGGGGAGTTGGTGGTGTCGTCGGTGGCTGCAGCCACCTCGCACAGTATCAAGCAGTGGCGAAGCGTCCTGGCGTGCCTATAGGCCTACCAGACAATGTTATAAGAACCTTTCGTGGTTTCCACGAAATGTTCTTGGAACATTTCTGGCTGGGACTGTCTTGTTTGAGCACATCGTGCTTATGTTCTAAGAACATGGTTGTTGTTCTTATATTTTTTGGGTTCAAAGAACATTTCGTGGTAGGACTACAGGAGTGCCGGGACGGTCGGTCCCTGCTCAATTTCAGCCGCCGAGCCCTTATCGGGGAATTGGTGGTGTCGTCGGTGGCTGCAACCAACCCGCAGAGTAAGGATGGGCAGCCTTCCCAAGGGTGCCCTTGCATCCTTGACACTTCGGCCAATCCTCAGCGGCTTTCACTGGCTAGCATCGTTCGAAGAACGTCAACCGGGCCCTGCAAGGCCCCTGCATCCTTACCCCGTATCTTCATGATACGGGTTGACTGTATGGGGTGAAGGGGCTCTGTGAACTCGGTCGCCCTGATGAACCAACATGTGTTTCCAGCCGTTGGCTGACCCCCCTTGGGAACAGCGCCGCCAGGTGCTTCGAAAGGAAGGCGGGCGGCAGGGCAGAAAGCAAGATGGGGAACGCGACGATTGGATTGGATTGGGGTGGACAGAGCCTCGGGAGGGGTGGAGGAGGGCAGGAAGCAGGGAAGCAACACAGGAACGAGGAGGTGGAGGAATAGGAATCGAAATGGGAGGCAGAAAAGGGAAGAGGGAAAATTGGCGCGGGAGCATGCGTAGCCCAATACGTTGAGCCCCCGGGCCGTGCAAGCAACACAGGTCTCCCCTGCTCCGATTGTCAAGGGAACCGCGGTGACGTTTGTGCGTGTTCAATCGAGCACTAGTTGTGCACTAGTTGGCGTGTCAATGCAATAATTGGCGCGACAATGCAGTAGTTGGCGTTCGAGGACCCAGTCGTTCAGAAGGGCTGCAACAGTTCAAGCGGCCCCCACCTATTGCAATCGGCTCTGCGTGGATGTGGTGTTCGCCAGAGAGCCACTCCTCATGTGCGTGACCAGCTGGCCGACTCGGGACTCTGAGGGCGCTGCGCGGGGTGGCAGGCTTCTCGCTGGCCGCTCCAGGGCACGGGCGCCACTTCCGAGGGTTGCTGGGGGAGCCAGCACAGTGGGGCCAAACGGGACCTCGCCATCCCTGGGGGGGCTGCGAAGTGTGAAACTGTAACCACTTTCGAAGGCTGCTGGGGGAGCAAGCACAGTGGAGCCCCACGCAGATCCAAACGCGACTTCGCCATCCTTTCGGGGGCTGCGAAGGGTGAAATTGTCGCCACTTCCGAGGGTTGCTGGGGGGGGGGGACAGCATAGTGGGGCCACATGGGAACGGCCAGCGTTGCGACCGTCGCGCGTTTTGCCTCGGCGTCGCGACGACCCCCCCCTACTTGTCAGAGCGCCCCCCTTCCCAAATCGAGGTGACGCCGTCAGGGTTTTCGCGCCGAGGGGGCTGTCTTGGCGGCCTTGGGGCTCTGCTGGGGCCGTTTTCTTTCGAAGCCATCTTGGGCTCTGGACGCCCGGAATGGGTACGGAAAACATGGTTACAATGCCCAACAACAAATGTTGTCCCAAATCAACAGCGACCGCTGTTGGGCAGGCGGCCCTCTGTATCAAATGGACACAGGTCGCGGCGGCGCGGACAGCGAGTCCTGTTCGAAATGAACAGCAACTGCTGTTGGGCATTGTGCCCATTCTTTCCGTACCCATTTCGTTCGTGCCGATGGGCGTCTTGGGCGCCTGGGAGATCGCTGGGGTTTGCGACGGGGCGTTCAGGGGGGCCTCGGGAAAGGGGCGATGCACGCGGCGCTCTGTGGCGGCAGGGTGTGGGGGTCACAGAATCTAGGCCTCCTAGATGGGGTCGGAGTAGATGGGGTCGGAGGGTCGCGCCGCATCGCCAATGTATCGCCGATGCGGGTCGATGTAGGGCCCGAATTGCTTCACGTCGACGGCGCCGATGCATCGCCCACGTCGCCAGTGCATCGCCGGTGCATCGCCGATGTATCGCCGGTGCATCGCCGATGCATCGCCGATGCATCGGAGATGCGGCGAGATCCTCCGACCCCATCTACTCGGACCCCATCTAGCGGGCCTCTACAGAAGCCCTGCCAGACAGTTCAAAGGCACTCGAACACGCCAATGCCGCAGAAGCGCGGCGGATATGATGTGTCATTGTTTTTGCGGCTTTCAATTGCCGTCAAGTGTCCATCGTCGTCGCTATCGCGTAGCCTTGTTGGCTCAAGTATTTGATCGTTGGCCATGCGCTGCGAGTGCATGTTCCCGCAACTCCGCCCATGGAATAACTCAATCTGACTTGTGTGCTTCGTTTTTTCTGGGGCCCATTTTTGTGCAACGCATTGTGAGATTTTCGTTGCTTGTCACCCTTGCGCGCGCGACCCATCGCATGTTGCATTGTGCTCAAGTGGCACGATCCGTGAAGTGAGTCGCTCGATTTGATTGCTGCCTGAGCGGGACCTGGACGTTGTTGGTGCTTTCATAGCGTCCCCGCCTTGTGGGGCGCATGTTGCAGGACGCCCCCGCGGTCCGCGCGAATCCCCGCGGCGTCCCCGCTGCGTGCTGCGTTGGCAAGGGGGCGGTGGAAGCAAATGGTGCGCCGCCCTTCGTGGGGTCGCATTTCTGGCCGTACACAGGGCCACACGCAGATTCAAACGGGACCTCGCCATCCCTGCGTGGGGCTGCGAAGTGTGAAATTGTCGCCACTTTCGAGGGCTGTTGGGCGGGACAGCACAATGGGGCCCAACGCAGATCCACACGGGGCCTCTGCTCTGCGAGTCGGCCGCGCTCACTTCGCACGATATAGACATGCGCCGTGCACCGTCTGTTGCAGTGCTGCTGTTGCACTATAGTGTCGGCACACCTTAGATCATCCCTTGGTGCCGCTGGGTTGGGTACGTCGCAGGGTAATTGCATTCCATTTTTTCTGGGGGGGGAACGGCTGGCGCTCGCGGGCAGAGGCACTTCGTGGGGCAAGCTAAGGTGTGTGACCCAATTCGGAGGGTTTCTGGCCACGCCACCGATTGACAACCATGCGGTGGCGTTTGACAGCCTGTGGCGTTCACCAAGACATCGCACTGTTGTGCGCGTTTCGATGTGCACCTCCGTCGCGCCTGTCGCAGGGCACGGTGCCGACGTGCTGCAGTCCGTGGCGTTGCCGTCTGCAGCGTGTGCGAGAGCGGCGGAGTTCCGCTCGCACGCTGCACAATGATCTTGGCCAGGCGCGAGCCATACGTTTCCCTCGCCGCCAAACTTCAAAAATTTGACTCTTGCATGCTTGCTTGCCCCCCCCGTGTGTCCCCGCCCCATCTGCACTCTTGCTGCAAGCCTATGCAAGAGGTCCAACACTGCGAAAACGAAAGAGGGGTAGCGGTATGGGTTCCTCTTTCTTCCTCCGAAGGCGGCGCCTGGCCAGATGCATCCCTGCTCCCTGCGCCCCTCCCTTCCTCTTGCCCGGGCCCTCCACCCCTCCTCCGCCCCCGGTTTCCCTTCTGCCGTTCCTGCTCCTCGCCCCTTTCTTCCTCTCTCTGTCCATCCTTCCTCTCCTCCAGACTTCCTTCTCCCCCCCCCTCTCCTCCCTCTCCCTCCTTCGGTCTCCTCCCCCTCCTCCCCTCCATGCCCCCTCCTGCCTCCCTTTGTTCTCCTTCTGGGTCGGGTGGACCTGGCCACATGTATCTCCTTCAGGGAGCATGGCGGATAGCTTTTGACGAGCCGACGAACTATCTGGATTTCCAAACCGTCAAGTCCCTCGGTCGTGCCATCCAGCTCTTCCGAGGAGGCACCATCGTGGTGACCCACAACGAGGACTTCTTGCAGGCTCGACGGGTTGTGGAATGGTCTGACGCATGCGATCAGCAATAGTTCGTGTATTGGCCATGTATGTCGTCGTCGCTCTCAGACGAGGGGACGGGAGATGAAGAGGAGGATTTGCAAGACAGCGATGATATCAAGCGGAACCCAACATCCGGAACGCACTCGTCTCCCCCTGCTACTGGGCGCCTCATTTCGGGCGCCTTTGCATCCTCTGCCCGGGCGGATGCGAGCTCCCCCCTGGGACTCCCGGGCGGCGGCGGCGGCCGGCAGCCGCGGAGAGGCCACCTGCGAGGAGATTTGGCACGTCGAGGATGGATACGTGAACGTCCAGGGGAAGAACGGCCAGATCAAGGGGCTGTCTGCCAAGAACGAGCAGGCGAGGATGGCCAAGGACCTTCCCCCAGATGCCCAGAGATGCCCAGGGCCTGCGCCCTTCCCAATCCGCATCTCGTCCTTTCTCTCCTCGGCCCTGCCTTTCTCTAGGTGTTCGTGTGCGTGTGTGTACCTGTGAGAGGGGAGGGGGACAGACGGATGGACACGCTGGTTGCAACCGCGCCACATCTGACATCCCGTCCCAACGTCCCTTTCCAACTCGCCGAAGCCCGCGTCGAAGCTGGCCGTGATTCGTAGACGGCACTTGCAGTGGCCAACCCGTCGTCCGCTGTGCAGGGTGCGAGGCCGGCCCCCTTCCTGTGAGTCTCGATCGCCTCCGGGCTCCGCGCGCGCCCGAGGAGAAGCAGAAGGCGGAGGCCAAGGTCGAGAGGGACGTGAAGGCGGCGTCCGGCCCCAGCGAGGCCGAGAAGGCTCTCCAGGCGCCCGCAGCCCCCCCCTGGGCGCGCCAGCACGGGCCCCGCCGTGCAAGCGGCCCGCCTGCGACGGGGGGGGGGCAAGGAGCGGGCTAGGGTCCGGGTGCGGTCGGGGAGGGGGGAAGGCAGTGGGGGAGGGCGGGGCGGTGGGGGAGGCGGTGGAGGAGCAGTGGAGATGTGAGGCGGGTGAGCGGGGGGAGGGGGAGGGGAGGGGGAGGAGGGGGAGGCGGTGGGGGAAGCGAGGGGGGGGGGAAGGCACACGGGGAGGGGGAGGGCGGGGGGGGGCCAGGACGGGGAATCCGTGCGGGGGGGGGCGAGAGGATAAATCCGTTCTAGAGCGTTCCAGAAGGCTCTGAGGAGGCCGCGGCGCCCGAAACATCCTCCAGAGCCGCCAGATCGCAGAGCTTCTCGGGTTATATCCTCCCCCGAAGTAGTCCTCGTCCTGGCTTCGTCTGACAGGGTGTGGGTCGGGGATGGGGGGGGGAAGCGGGGAGGGGGAGGTGGTATGGTGGAGGGGGGAGGGGGCGAGGTGGGACGGCGCGAGAGGGCGGGAGCAACAGAGGAGGAGCGGCCGAGCACGATGCTCGAACGGTCGGTGCGAGTGTGAGTGCGGCCGGGCCGGCGGCCGGCGCGCGACGCGACCGGGGCCGGGGGAACGGCGGGAAGGGAACGACAGGAGCGGCGGAACAGCGTCGAGCGAACTGGCCCTGGACGAGCGTTCGGGACCGAAGCGAGGCGAGCGGAGCGATCGGCGTGCGCGTGCGAGAGCAGCCGCTGCCGTCCCTTGCGCCCCCTCCGAGGCTTCCTGCGCCACCAGGCCACCCCCTCCGCCGCCCAGCGCTCCCGCGCAGTTCCGTGCCCGCTCCTGCCGCCCCGGGCCCTGCCGCTTCTCCGTGCGCCGTGTCGGTCCCTGTGGTCAGAGGTGCTGCCCAGCTGCTGGTTCCTGGATAGCCCAGTGGCCTCGTTGTGCGCCAGTGAGAATACTTCATCATCTCATGGAGGAAAATAATCAACTCATGGACTCACGGTCGGTAAAGAACAACACAAT